ATAGACCATGGACTGGACTGTACAGCAGGTTTTTTTACTTTTCTGCAGTTGCTCCTTAGATCACTCACAAGCTGCACACTTGGAATGAATATGACCTGTATCACTGAAGGGAATTATTCCTCTGCAGGATTAAAACCTACACACTTGGTCACGAAGATAACAGACCCAATACCAAGTAATCTGCTCTAAATTACTGACACAGTGAACAAACACCTCCTCCTATTCCATTCCAATGCACCTACTGGTTTGACGAGAACTATTATCAAAAATACAAAACAAATCTAAGAGTAGTTCCTGTATATCCTGTAGAGACAAAACCACCCTTGTAAAAGGAACATAGTGCACTCCTCATCTTTGCCAAAGGAAGACTGAACACTTGACAAGGTATGAAGTCACACAGGTGTGAATGACCAACACATCCAGACTTCAAACCCTCTCAAGACATACACTTACATCATTTGTATGTATTTTTACAGATAAAACCTAAAAAACAACATGTTTAATTTCCTGTGTTCAAACTTTAATTAACTTAGATTTAAATTCCAATTATAATTGCTCAAATCAGTTTCCATGCAGGACAGTCAGAAAACCAAGATGTTGGCAGCCACTGAGATGGTGGTAGAAATTACTCACCTAGAACAACGTGGGAAGGCTGTAGCAGAAATAGGGATAAAACCCAAGCACTGATGAAACTTCTGATATCTTCATCTTTTCTTCAGCTCAACACTATCTCATTCCTAGCACTCTTTCAACCAGTCTCTTCCCCTTCTACATGACCTCATGACTTCCCAAGCCCATGTCTTGTACTTTTTTGTCTGCCTCTTCCCACTCTCGGTGCTCCCTTAACATGGTTCTTAATTTTTTCCTGAAATACGTCTCCTATGTGTTTCTTCCACCTCACTCAGGTTTGGATTTTATCCTCCCTTGCAGTGTTCAGGCTTAGCAAAAGGTAGACACAATTCCAAGTAAGCCAAAGTGATGTTTGGCAAAGCAGTAACTTACAAAAGGAAGCACTAAGTAAACTTTACCAGAGATGCCTCTACTACATTCAACACTTTGATCTCACCTGCAAAAATACAAAATAGTCCAGGTTCTCTTTCCCTGAAGGAGAAGAGGGGTGGGAGTAATACAACATTAGAAAGTTATTTTCATCTCTCTTGTTCTCTAGATTGATCTACAATACATTGTAATTAATTTTATCTCCAGAAGATAAAAGATGAAGTCCCCAGATGAAGCCTGTGGACTTCAGAAAATTTACCCCAGTTTTTACAGTCCCAAAGAAGCCAAATGCTTGAAAAGCCGAGTGATCAGAGTCCACCACCAACACCCCTGCTAATCCAGAGAGCAGAGTGGGACTGAGAGAACAGGCACAACTGTTGAAATGAAATACTAGGAGAAGTTAAAAATTCACTGAAGTACAGGAAAAATAAAAGAACTTATAAAAAATGAGGGAACAGCCAAACTGCAGGAATCAAGAGCCATGACTCAAGAAGCAAGAACAGGAGGACACAATAAATCAAACTACAGAGCCAAGAACAACTTCCTCTTCCTCACATAAGCCCTTCCTCACAGAGCATGCACGGTAAAACTAGTGTGCACTGTATCTTTACGTGGAGATGAGAGAATGCAAAGCCAAAGACTACAGATTTAGGTTGTTACATATATGGGAAATGCCATTTTTTTACTGCTCAAAGTGTATAAAAATGAGCCCACTCAAGGTGGGCTACCTTCATGAATTCAGCACCCAGCACCTATCTCTCCACAGGTACAAAATAAAGTATCTCAACTCTGTGTGTGCATCATGTTCCTGCACACTGGGTGAAAGAATCCATATTTGGGACAACACAATATGCTGGCATTCTGGCCACTTGAGAGCTCTTTACAGCAGGGAACACTTGCACTGCCTGTCAGCCTGGGTCCCAATCATTTGTCTACACCTCAGGACTATAAAGTCTGCAAGAGACACTGTAGCTCCATCAGTCTTTTGTTGTTACACTAAAAGCAAGAGTGCTGTCTGCAGTTTGCATGGTAAGGACCTGAATATTGGTTAATTTATTTTAAAAATACCCATTAAAAATGAAAAAAGAAGCAGCAGCAGAAGTCCAGTCATTACACAGGTACAAGAAAATCCAGTGGCACAGGGAGTTTCCACAGAAAAAGGATTTCCCACAGCCTATTGTTGGAAACACTGTGACTCAAGTGCTCATTTCTTGCTCAACAGGCTGCTGATTCAACCAGAAGAGGATGCTGGTATGTCTCACCTTCTGCATTCCACCTACTGCACCCGAAATCAACAAAAAAACTGGCTTTGAGAAAACATGTGACTATATCTCATGCTAGTTTCTAGCTATTTACATGACATACTTTGGTTGTACAATGTATTTGTCAATGCCATTTAAAGGTACATATAATAAAATAATAAATTAGGAATTTTGACTGTTGCTGTCTCCTTATCTTGCTAAATTCCAGTTGGACATTTCACTACAAACAGGTGGTTAGAAGGTGAAACACAGAGTATAATATGCTTTCAGATTCACTGCTGTGTGAAGAAACTACTGACCAGAAAAATTGTCAACATACAAACTTACAAAATAATCAGATAAAAAGTGTTTTGCAGCTGGAGACAAATCCTGTTAATACTGTGTATGAAGAACAGTCTCTTGTGAAAATTAATGACCTGATGCAACTCCCCAGAGAAAGCCCTCAGGTAAGGAATTCAGATGGAACCAGGGAGCAAGCCAGTGGAGGCTATTTTAAACTCAAGTCTTTCTACAGCTATTTCCAGGTGCAGCCCTAAATTCAGCAACAGTATCTGTTTCCCAGAAGCAGATTTTAAACTGTCTCTGACAGGTAACTGGAGATAGGCAGTGTGGTTCCAGAGGCATGGCATGCAGCTAGCCGCCAAAATAAAGCATGAGCAGTTATTTTTCAGAGAACAGACTGTAACTCTGTTCTACTGCAGCAGTTATATACATTTCCTTCTCATACTCAGAAAGGTTCAGGATGCTGGCAGAGGAAAGTAGAGAAAACTCCCTAGAGTGAGGCAGGAAGCAGAGACAGAAGTGTGGCTAGAGGCTAAGAGATTAGCCATTACCAAATTTATAATCCATGTAGACGCTAGAACATGTTAAATATCTTGGAGCAGCATTTTTAAAACCTTAGGACTGAAAGAACAGTGAACGAGTTCGTTTTAGCAACACAAATGAGTTCCACTAGGGAAAAAGGGGGAAAAATGCAAACCAACCTTTCCAGGACTTTATTTTTTGCACACCAGCATGGATATGCACACAAAGATGCTGCTGAATTCAATCCTAAAAATCACAAATGTATCACTGCCCTACCTAAAAACCCACAAAAGTATCTTCACTTCAGTCAAGCAGTTAAACCTCTGCTTAACTTAAAAGATCATGAGTGAATGCATCTGAAGTAAACAGGATTTGGGTGCTTTGTTGGTGAAGGCACAGGCTTACTCTTTATATTCCTGAAGATGAAATAAAAGTGTTTTGCTAATAGATGGAAGTAATGAAAAAAGACAAAAAGTCGTTGTTGAAAATTACTTGAAATTCCTATCATAACAGTAACACATCATTAATTAATAGCTTAAAATCAAAATATAAACCAGCTATGTTTCACTCAAGTCTGGATATACACCATTAATCTCTAATGATGAGAACTATGCTATGATTTACTAGGAAAGCTTTAAAAATCATGAATATTCCAAATAAAAGGAAAAAGTCCTGAACCATCCAACATAAACTAGGAGGTCTGCAATTATGATGAGATCTGAGATGAACTGTATATTTAAAGACTGCATACAGTGCCTGTATTTACTGCTGTCCAACACCTGCTGATGTGGACATAGTTTTCAACTCCTTTTAAATATGTATATTTAATTTTTTGAAAGAAGATTTTTCAGTCAAGCATCTGACTTAGGATGATTTAAAAAGAAATATTAAAGGAAAACCTTTCTACAAAAGAAAAGGCATCTCAGAATAGAAATAGTGGAAAATGTATTGTTTTGCTTTCCTGTTATTGCTTCTAAAAGAGCAAAAAGCAATAGCAAGATAACAGCAGGGCAGATTTAATTGAAAAGCTCCACCATCTTCAAGTTTTGAAACAGAGATTTTCCATTTTGAAGGGAAATCAGGGATGCACTTTTGCCTTTTCTAGAGAAATTCATACAAAACCAAGAAGTCAATTTGCAGACACACACTAGAATAGGTTGCTTAGGAAGTTGAGTTCTCCAGGCATTACGTGGCCTGAAAATGAAGGGACTAAGTCCAGCCTGCCCTGGGACTGCCTCTTTCCTCCCTGGCTCTGCTGTGGATCCCTTGCCTGCTCCCGGCCGGGATGGGATGGGAAGGGAAGGGATGGGATGGGAAGGGAAGGGATGGGATGGGAAGGGAAGGGATGGGATGGAATGGGAAGGGAAGGGAAGGGATGGGATGGGAAGGGAAGGGAAACCCGCGGCCGCGGTGCCCCCTGGCGGTCGCTGCCGGCACGGCCGCGCCGGGGGTTTGTCCGTCCTGAGACCAAGCACAGAGCGAGCCCCTGGCTAATTGAGCGGGCAATTAACAAGCTCACCCTTTATAAGCACCAGCATAGTCAGGTAGCAGGCAGGCTTTAAAACATTGGTTCCCTACTGCCACAGTCAGGTGTTTGTTCCCAAAATCAGCTGCCTCATCCACCTGCACTTCCATCTTCCACAATACACAAGGCAGGTGTCACCCAAGACTAAGTTGTCTTAACTACGGTGTCCTCAGTCATTCCCGAAGCACTACTCCTCCCTTATTTCCACTGGTTTGAGTTTCAAGGGGAGGAATTAGAAACTCTATCACACTGGGAAAAAAAATACGTAGTTGTACCAGCAACTTTAGTATTTTATACCTGCCAAAGATTTATCTCTACAACCATGTGTTGCTTTAATGCAACATTTGTGTCTATTAAAAATATTTAAATAATGATATGTTTTCATAACATTATTAGAAAAGGCAGTTTACCTGATTTACTGTTTCCTCAAATGCTCTTATATAATTATTAAGAGATCTGTCCATTGCAGCAAATTCTAACATGACTTTTTCCATACTGTTAACATCCTCTTCATCATCTGCAAAATAAAACATTTTGAACATGGATGATCAGTTCGATTATATTCAGGCAGTATTTCTTCTTTGCAAGTATTTTATTTACAATATTGATACTGTGAATGTTTAAAGCATATGTGTACCAGCAGGTGTTTTCAAGCTCCTCAAACATATACTTTTTTTCCTATTTTGCAACTGTAATCTTTTACATTTCTTGGGTAACTCCAACAAACAGCTTACTCAGAAAGACACTTCCCTGGTTTCATGTGAACAAGAGAGAGTGTGTGTAATTTCATCTACCAACACCTAGTCATTAGGCAATCAGGATATTTTCTGCAAAAGTTATATTTCATGACTCATCACATTGCCTCAGAAATAGTCAGAAGAAACTTAAATGCCCTCTCAGTACAGTATAGTTCAAGCTATAATTAGACCCCTTATCCCCAATAAACACAGCTACTGGAAAATCAAAACAGAGCCAGTGTTTTATAACACAGGAAATATTGGAGGACTGAATAGCATTCGTGATTCAAGTGTAAAATTCTAATTGCCTGGGAAAATCAATTAATACATGCGATTAGTAATTCACATCCACTTTTATTCTCTTCTTCTTTCCTCCTAATTTCACTCCTTTCATCTCTAACTACACCTCTGCTTTCCCATTCTAACATTGCTGTGCATCTGCTTAGCTGGATAAGGACCCTTTGTAGATGCTACATGGCTGAGCAGCCACAGTTCTATCTCCTGACACAGCCACATGCACTACACCAAATCCTGCCAGCTGCAGGAGGACAGCCAGCCACAAGCCCCTAACCCATGCGGGAAATTAGGAACTTAGGAAACCTAAGTTTCCACTTCTGCTACTCCCATTTATTCCTACCCTGCAGCTTCCAGGTACAGAGAAAACAGCTGGAAGCATCTGGATGCCATGAAAGAGCCCCAGAGTCTGCCATGCAGCATTAGGGGTTACCATTTAATGGAGCATTCTTCTTTACAAGCAGTTAAGTAGCCAAGCTGTGCTGTTACTTTTAGGAAGAAAATCGTGGTACAGCTTTTTAAATTACTTTTATTGTGAAGAAAGGAAAATGTCTTCTGATCTGACAAGCTAGTACACTGCCCAAGTTGCTAACTATACTATCATGTTAGAGCACAAAAATCTGTCTCTGCAGAGAGCTAACACAAAGCACTGTATATGGCCATCAGCTTGAGAGCAAAATCTGAAACACATCACTCAGGGACAGAAGTTTCATACCACTGATGGATCCAGGAGACTGAGGAAAAGTGCTAAGATATATTTACACAAAGAGTTACATAATAAGCCATTCTATTTTGTGAACATGGCAATTACAGTTGTGACATTTCCCTTAATTATATATAGGCTTGGTATGTATCCATTTTTCATTAAGTAGATGAATGGATACTGCAGACAGAATCTTGGCACTCCTGCAACTTTCTTCTGAATAATCAGCATTTCCCTCTCCTCCTTCCCTTCCCTCCCACCCAATTTCCATATCCTATCTGGTAACTATGATCATACTCTTTCCTTCCTGCAAGGAAGCATATGAAGTGCCTCCTTCAAGGCTGACACAAATGGCACTCCATGAATCACAGGAAAGGTTTGTGTAGCAAGTAACTGTCATTCTCCTCCCATGGCCAAAATGAATCATATCCACAACATAAAGAAACTACAGTGACCTAAATATTTTTTATTTTTTTTTAGGGGAAGAGAAGTGCATTATTAAATACCAAGAGAGCTGTATTAATGCTGTCTTTCCTAACAGTTAAAGAAAGCTTTAGGTAAAGAATAGTAATATTGCATGCAAGTTGAGAGATGCATTAAAATAAAGCTCAAAGTGGTGGAACACAGCTCAAGCAAGAGGGATATTAACTACATCCTGCCCCACATTCTTCATGCACTGACCGTTCCACCCATCCACCAGCTTGCTTTAAGTCTCAGTGCTATTCACTGCTCTTTCCTTGCTGCTGTTCTTTCATGCACAGGAAGTGTGTTCTACACACTGGGAAACTGCTGAACACGTCACTAACACACGGCCACAGCCGGCCCTTGGAGGCACTATGGACATACAGACAGATCCGAAGGACTGCATACAGGTCAGTGGTTGTCCACAGATAGAGCTGAAGGACTTTATAAAGGTCAGTGGTTGTTCATACCCTATTTCTGCTCATTGACAGATTAACTAGAGTCCACTTTCTATCTGCAGTCCAATCCATACTCCAGGGCGCTGAGAGCTAAGAGGAAATCTATGTTGTTCCCAGCCACTCACCTCCCCATGTCCTAAACAAGATTTAAAAGAAAACTTACTTTACAGGCTATTCTATTTGCCTTTTAAAAACCTTTATTGTTCCACATTACACACAGCAATAACCTGCTGTGCAAGGCTCCTCGGCTTTCCCTTCCTCTAAGGAGCTAAGAGCACTTCTGCCCCTCCCTGGTAAGGAGCAGATGCAAGGCAGAGCTTGGCTGCACATGATGAGAAGCTGTGAGTGACTCTATGGGAATGTAAAGTTTTACAGCTCACCAAAGCAGGGATCCCAACACCTTCAATGTTTCTTTACACATAAACTAATCAGAACACACCATTTGACCTGATCTTATTAGGGAACGAGAAATTAGAAAAAAAAAAAGACTTGCTTCTCCTCACCACCATTACACAACTCATTCTCACAAATCTCACCAACCCCTTAGTTTTAACACCACTATAGTATCAAAAAGAATCAAAATTTAATAATTACATCAGGGCTTTGAACAATTCAAAAGGCATTGTCTGTTATCCATTCTTCAAGCCCTGCTGCTGCTTTTATTTCAGTTGTGAGGACACCAGTGGAGATTCACAGTAAAAAGATTCAAGGCACTGACTCTCTTCCAGCAGACAGTGGGCACGCTGACTGGTGAATACCCTCCAGCCAGACTCCAGCTACAAAGCCAGCTTACTCTCCAAAGTAATCAAACCGTGCACTCTGCAGGCCAACAACCCAGCTTAACACCAAAATCAAATACTTTGCAAGTGCAAGTGCTGTACCAGTGCCTTTCTGTTATCTAATCAAAATTTATCCTAAGCTTATTTCTAATTCATATCTAAGGAATGCATTCCAAACTATCTGCATATGCTTTTAGCTACTGCCACAAAATACCATCAAAGTTGCATATTGTAGTTGTCTCCTTGTTATCTACACTAAATATGTTGAGTTTAGTAAGCATTTCTTCACAAGTCATTACCCTCACCACTCAGAGATTATACATTTTGCAATATTACATTTTTTACTCACAGAAAGGCCAGTCCAAGGCCATAATTTCATTTTCAAAGGCCCATGTGCATCATGTTAAAATTATCTGGATGAATATCCAGAGTTCATGTTATAAATTCCAGCTTGCATGATTTTATGATCTCTTATTATAATGGAAACAGGGATATTATTCTGAAAAGTCTCCCTACATATTAAAGAACAAAGTTACATAAAGTGACAACCAAGAGTTCAATTTCTTGTTTCTAAAGAGACCAAACTGATCACGTTGAGGTGCCTTACTGCTGATTTAAACCATAATCAATCAGGGCTGAGTTATGTATCATGAACCCACAGTGTTAAAACAGAAGTTATAATAACAGGATAGAGTCAAGTCAGCACTGATTTAATACTTCCTATAGTAACACTAATCTAAAATCTATCCAAAAAACTTGCATTTCCTTCTCATATCTGAGTTCATATTTACTTTAGCTCCCTGTATACATCCACAAGTTTGCAAAATTTCTAAAGATTTTTCACAACTACCTCTTTCTGTGCAAATCAGTATTTGCTTATTTAGGGTATTACAGGTGCCCTGCAGCCAGTGCACAGCAATCCAAATAAGCATTCACTTCCACCACAGACTATCTTAAACACAAAATATTCTGGAATACCATGAAATTACAGAAAGGTTCTAAACTTGGAAGTATAACAGTACTTAAAATAAATGCTTAAGCACAGAAAACGTGGATTAACATAAATACACACATACTGTCATACATTTATAGTATTGTCTAACAAAAGTCAAACTTTCAATTTAAAGAAAACAGGACATGTCAGTTCTACTTCTTGCACTACATATTAGTTTGCTTTGAAATTCAAGGCCTAACGCTGTTTTTCCCACCTTTTGAGGCAAAAGACTAATGGTATACCATTTGCCCCCAAATTTTGACTGTAGATTTCAGACTTTTAAAACATTTAAAACAAAAACATCAGTCACTTGAGCCATTAGCAACAGCGGTAGTAGGCCTTTGTCTTCGTATGCACCAGCAGCAGATAAAATACACACTTTGCCAGCAGGTTTCAAGTTTCTGCTGACAGCAGATGAATACAAGCTCCCCACTTGATTGTTCCATCTTCTGGTGGAGAACATACATTCTCAATTCAGGATACAGCTAAGCATTTTTGCTGTCATTTTTCCTTCATTTTGAAAACCAAAAAAGTGTTATGACTCCACTCTGCATTGCCAGTTTTGGTCTACTCAAAACTGTTGATAATTCAAATTGGATCTTGAAAAAAACTTTCAACCAACCCACACTCTTTAAGAATAGATTCACAACATTCTTGGAGAAGACAGTAGCAGGATGTCCCTCTAATGTCTGGATGCTCAGTAGTGAGAGGATACAAACCTGTGTAGGAGACCACTGTCTTATTTCCCTCCCCTGTCTACATAGGCATGAACCTGACGTGGTACTCCAGGCTACATAGACCAGGAAGAACCTAAACAGGAGATTGCTTCTGCAGCACTGAGGGTACATCTTTGCTTTTTCTCCTGCAGATACATGGACAGCTTCTCAGAAAACTCTCACGGAAGAAAATTTCTTTCAAAATCTCATCTCCCTGACCTATAACATATTTAACCTATGTGACATACTTAACATATGTAACGTATCAGGCTGCAAAAACAGCAGAAAGCTAATACAGAAAATTCTAAACTAAAAGAAATTAGAAACCATACAAAGAAACAGCAAAAGACTGGAGAACACCCATTTCATCTCCT